AAATTAAAAGTTGTTTTATGAACTAGAATAACTTTAGTTATTAGTGCAAGATTTTCTATGTCCAATAAATGTGTATTCGATGCTTTGAGAATAGTTTTAAAAGAGAATATTATAAGTAATTTGAATTGAGTAAATGATTTTCAGCAATTGCGATTATCTTTGTAAAGTTCAACATTTTGGTGCGTCGTTTTTGTCAGTGTGTTGCACCTCATTCCATGGGCAATAAGCAGTGCTGCAGTGCTCAGTGGCCAAAAACTGAATCGCGTCAGTTGTCAGTTGTCAGTGCTCCGTTGTGGAACCGCATATGCCTGACTGACCTAGTCTCCAGTATCCAGTTTCCGTCTCTATTCTCTTTCCAGTGCCAGTTTCTGGCTTGGTTCGCTTCACCGTCCACATTCCGCCTGTCCACCTGTCCAGGTGTGCAGCTTGTGTCCTTCTCTCTGTCCGTCTACATGTCTCTCAGTCCGTCTTGGTTTGGCAGCATCGTTCAGGATATATGTCAAAAACGTATTTGCATTTTTTTCCCATTTCACTTTGCAGTTCTTTCAACCACGCAACTTGCACTTGCCGTCACCTGCTGTCCGTTTATCTATCCAGCTACCTCTCTCTCTCACTCTCTGTCTTTCTTTGTCTCACACTCGTAATTTAAATCGAGATAGAGTTCTGCTCCAGTTGCCCTATGTCCTGTTGTTGGTTAAATTTGTTCATCAAATAAAAACCATTGTTAACCTGTCACTTACTTTTCTCATTTTCAAAAATAATTTTAACTTTTATTCTTATTTCTATTTATAAATTGCAGTCTAAAGTCTCTCGATTACCATCATACATACTAAGCCTTTCTTAAGTGACTGTTCTGGTATATTGAAATCTACCCAATTCCTTTTCAAAGCCGACCAGGTATTTATTTATTTAAATGGCTTCTCGTGGAGCACGTTCAATTAAATCATTCTTATTTTGTGGTTTTTGCTTTAAAATCATAACAATTGTCGAGCAATTTTGTCGTGTTGCATTTGACGAATGCTGGCAGCAGACAAAAAAAAAAAAGAGAAATTTATTTATGTTCGCGCCTCTTGCGTCACTGAATTTAATTGGAAAATTTAATTAACTTGCAAAATCCATTTGATGCGGGTGCATTGGGCTATAAAATTGTTGAGTATTTTCTGGGTACAATAATTTGAATGAACTGAAAGTTATGCTTTCTGATTGAGCTGACAATCAATCAAATTGCAATTAGTAATTAACGAATTGATTTTGATCTGTTATTGTCACTAAGCAGAGAAATTGCGAATTAACTCTTCAAAATGCAGATTCCTGATTTTGATTTATAGATAAATCAGTTTCTGGAGGTGTCTAAAAAAATGTCAAGTCGACACCACTTCGACTAATGGAAGTCAAATGATAAAATCTATTTAAAGAGAAAAATGCTAAATGGTAGCAGCGTCATCCAATTGAATGTCATCGTCATCAGCCTTAGGGCGTCTGACAGTTTGCCGTTGTGCATCCAAGGAAGTGCCTCCAAGGAGACCCTTTTCGCTCCACTCACAGGAACTATGACTGTGACTGCGAATCCGATCCAAAATGTGCGTCAGCAGCATTAAATTTGCATAGATGCAGTCGGCGTCTTTTTTTTTCCTTCCTAAGTTACTCACTTTTTTATATACCCTATAGTCTCTTTAGTCTTATGGAGTATATGAGTCATTAGAACAAGACTCTGACAGCAGCAGATGATAAATTCCTAGATAAGCAAACATACAAAGTTATTGAAGACTTTCTTTGAGTCTCGCTAAATACATCCTATTTCCCATCTGCTAACTATCTATTCATGAGTATCTACGCGTCGAGCAGGCGCTCGTTGACTCACTATCACTTGTTAAATACTTGCAGCGACAGCAATTGCAAATGACGCACGTTTATTAAAATGGCAAAAATTACGATAGCAAAATGGCAAAAAAATGAGAGAAAAAAACTATTGCATTGAATTTAATTTAATTTAGTGATTTGCTAATAATAACTGAACAAAATTTGCAAGCAAAGCAACTTTAATATAGATAGTAAACTTGCTATTAATGGTTACACTCAAAAACTATTGCCAAAAACAAGATTTATTAGGGAGTAGGGAGAAAGGGATAAATTTAAGGAGGAGTGTGTGGAATATGCAAGAATATCCGACTGATAAGTCGGATGTAACAAGATGAGGGAAAGGAGTAGAGTATGAAAAGGAAGATTAAAATTAGTTAATTTGGAATAGGATAGAGAATAGGAGACCAGAAAGCAGATTAAGAATACAAAATATAGTAGGGAAGAGTAGGGGAGAGGAGGATGAATATGAGTAGCATAAGAAAGAAAGTGGCTACATTTTTTTTCTTGCTAGTTTTTAGAATTGTTATCTAAAATTCATGATATTATCTTTATCGTTGTACAACGGAAAATTCCTGACTGTTTTTAGCCTGTGAAGAAAGTCTATCATGAGATGAAATTGTTGGTTTATTTTTGAAGACCCATAAAATGCGATCGAAACTTTAACCACTCGGCTTTCCGCTTGAGGAGTGTATGAAGATTCAAATTAGCAAGCTGTGTGGTAGTCATTTTTTTAAACATAATGGAAGCAAAACCAATATTTGGCCAGTGAAGCTATAAGGAAGCACTTATCTTCTCAAACAGATTGACACTTTTTCCGAAAGAAAAACAAGAATCTGGTCTTGACACGAGGAAAGGAGAAGCATATGAAAAAAAGCTAGAAAGGTGAATGACAAAGTATGAAGAAAGACGAATTAGAAAAAAACCAACAGTCAATGAAAGGAAAAGCTGTGCCACCTTTAATGTTGTTGTAGAATACTAGCAAAAAAATGCATGAGAAAGGCGCAAATTGAAGCTAGGATATTGGAAGGTGGTGAAATGGACCAAGCCAGTTGATTAACATGAGTTCTCAAAGTAAGATTCAAAAGAGTAACACAAAAAGTATCTCAAACTCTCAGTTTCAAGCCTAGCACTTTGCATTGCTCCATCCTGCGTCGACAAGGTCATCTTTCGGCCGAGAGTCAATTCCACAAACTGGTGCACTTTGCGTGTCAAAACTCGCATATTCTGTGGACTAATGCTAGTAAGAAAAAGCAAGCAAAGGCATTTTTTCCTGTTAGACATCTAACGTGGCAGACATATCCTTTGAGCGGCATATGCCAAAAGTCAGCTCAAATGCAGTCTAAAAATCAGAAAACACAGTTCGCAAAGTGTTGTTTTTTTTTCTTTGTTGCTGTGTTTTATTTTTATTTTTTATAATGAACTTCATTTGCGAGCTTTGTGCGCAACTCAAATGCAAAAAGGCAAAATGCAAAAGACAAAACGGAAGAAGGCTTTAATATCAAGTTGCTTTCTTTTATTTTTACTGTTTACTTGTCAGAAAAGGAAACGGAACAAAAGCTGCTTTCGCTGCTATTGTTTTAAGCGGTTGTTGTTGTCCCGGTTGTTGTTGTTGCTGTTGTTGTTGTTAAGATTAATATGCTGCCGTTTTCTACTACTTATGCTGCCTTTCAGGCTTGCCAGATTCTTAAGGGACGCAACGAGCACGTTCTGACAAGTTGCACAAGTGCGCATGTGTTGCTTTAATGACTGCTCCCCGGCGCAGTGTGTGTCTCCATAAATGTGTGTGTGTCTGTGTGTGTGTGTGTCTGTCTGTGCTGAAAACTTAAGACATGCAGCAAGCCATTCAGCAGCTTGAAGCATGCAGCGGGGCAAGCCAAACAAAATGCAATGCACAAACATATCCCCACTCACTACTTACTTTAAAATGGGATTTATTGTGCTCCATGCACACGTCTGCACTGCCCAAAACAAATATCGGGATGTATATAAGATACATAAATAATTATATATATATATTTCGTATTTCGCTTACGATTCCAGTAAAGATTATGAATTGGCTCCAAATGAGGACAAACAATATTGATTCCCTTCACCGATTTTCAACAATAAATATTGTTTATTGCTTCCGGTTCAATCAGCAAATCAACATCTTCTGTTTCGTACTTAGTTATTTTTAAATATTTATAAAATTGGTAAAAATTTGTGTTTAATTATTTCCAAGCAGTTTCTTAATTGAAATTCTTGCCCATCATTTTTTTTGGTAGTGCAGGGCTGTGTGTCAGCGTGTGTGTGTGCGATGATGCTGAATTTCAGCTCTCAGCTTGCCGCTGTTGCAACTATCACTTCCAAGCCAAAGTCTTAACTGCCACACACACACATACACAGGCAGAACTCTTCACTAGCAAAGCGCTTTGTGTGTCAAGAGTGAAAATGAGCAGTCGCCTGTCTTACACAGCAGAACAGCACTGAAGCACAATGTCTGCCCCAACAGTCCGCTGCAATCCTGGCTTTCAGTTTCCATATTTTATGGGCACACACTTTGTATATGCCTCTTTAGCATATTGAGAAAGGAGCAACACAAGAAAGAACACAACACAAGACAACACAGCACAGAACTGACTGAACTTGCCGGCAATTATACATCATTGTGATAATATGATGCTGTCTACTTATAATTAAGTTTGGCTCTCTTCTTCTGTTCAGTTCTGTTCTGTTCTGTTCTGCACTTGCTGTTGTTGTCTTTGTATTGCTTGGGGTTCCCCCTTCTTTTTTTAACTGCCTTTTTCGTTCTTCCCATACTTTTTAAGCTGTTGCCCCCTGACTGGCTTAACTGGCAAAGGAAAACTTTATAACTTATGGGTTGCATGAAAATGTTATACTTTGCCTGCAGCCAAAAGGAATTATGTAAAATATCAACAGTTGCATCGAAGCAACTTTAAGTGTATCAAAGTATATAATGTACTCTTTTTTGTTGGCAACACAGTTTTTAAAGTTTTTAGTAAAAAATGTTGTCATCAAATTTGGTGATCAAATAACAACGAAAGCAGCCAGCTGATTATATTTTATTTAATACTTTATAAGTTGACTTTGTTACTTTTTTTATAATGGTTATTTAGCAATTGCTTGTAAATATATATCTATATATTAAATATATATATTTTGCTGGGATTTCCATTAATTTTGAATGACATGAATGACATTATTGGTACAAATAATTTGATGCTACTGTTAATTTGGAATCGAAACCGCAACCGCAACTGAGGCAATTACAAGCTGCGTCTGCCATGTCGCTGGATGATTTTGCTGATCTCGCCATCGCTGGTGCGGACCAGGTTGATGCTGCTGCTGCCCGCCTGGCTGTGCCGGAGTTTCAGGACCAGACAGGCTGGCGCAATGATGTCATCGACATTGGGCACCTTTGCCGATTGGGGCACTCGCCTCAAGCCCGTCCAGAGCATATGGCGGGCGTCAACATCTGCGGTGGGCGTGGCCGCAATTGCCACTTCAAAGGCGCCCTCACGTGCAGCATTGTTCTCGTTGAGGCGCAACTGAAGTCGCACCTCGGGATTCATGGCACGCAGCGCCTCCGCCAGCCCCAAATGCAGTTCCAAAGCGCGATGCCGATAATCTGCCTGACTTTGACAGCATTCAATATAGAGCACCGGTTGTTGGGGATCCAATGGCGGTGGCGCCTCGTCCGTAAGCATTCTGCAACTGTGACTGCTGCTGTTACGGCTGCCTCACCTTTCGAATTCCGTTTTGCTTGCTCGACTTGTGTATTTTGTGTGTAACTCAACATTTTGTTTAGCCAAGTTTGACAGCTTGCTGCCCAGGCACACAGCTTGCTGCTTATCAGGGGCTCGCGAACTCAGTCGACACTTGTGTGTTTCCCCAGTGAACCTCCCCAGCCGCCCACAAACCTTCATAAATCACGCCAAAAAAAAAAACACAAACAAAATTCGTATCTGACAAATAAATCTTTGGCTTCAGATACCAAATGCAAATGCGCAATGCCAGAAAAACACACACAAAACCAATGTCCAAACAAAAACTCAAAAGCTGCCCAAATTTAAATATCAGTATATTTTGATACCCTGTATTTCTTAAAAATTACTAAAAAAAAAAAACTGAAAGAAAAACCGAAAAACTGAGACTGTTACGACTCCAAATATGAGCTCATTATTTTTTTTTAAATTTGCATTTGGTAATTTTAATAAATCAATTATTTTTCCTATTTTCTTTATAACAATTATTATAGACTTATAATATACAAATAAAAGATGGTTGATTATAAATGTTGATATTATTGGAGATATGAAATTCTGATTGTTAAAATGTTTTTTCAAGTAGAGCCAGTAAAAGTAAGAATATAACTTTCAATGGGCCAATTTAATGTTGCTCTACCATCGATTGTCATCAGCCACTTTAAGTCATATCTTGGAGAATGTAAAAATACATTCACTAAATTAAATAACATATCTAAGCTGTGAGAAGAATTCGCTTAGTCAGTCAAACTCAATTCGAGTTCTCTTCTTGTTGTGTATATGAAGGCAGCCTTCCCTCTTAGCCACCCTGCGTTGCCACAAAAACTGCAAGCTGTCCACTTTCAGCTGACATTTTGGCCAACGGCCTTTGGCCGCCAGTTCAAAACTTTTGTTAAACTTTCTTTTTTGCCGGCTACAGCTAAGCCAAATTCATAAAACATGCAACTATATTAAATATTTTATACATACAAAAAAAAATATATATATTTTATTTTTAATAAACCGAATTGTGAACACAAAGAATCAGAAACTGCGGCTGCTGCTGCTGCTGTTGCTGCTGTTGGTGCTTCTTATTGGCCCCGGGTGGGGATGTGGCAAGTTTGCCAAAGGGGGTCATCTATTCATTTTATTCACAGTTATTGAATGCAGCCGAGCAAAGCAAATAAAATATAATAAAATACGAAAATACGCAAAGCAGACTACGAAGAATAGAATATAAGAAAATGAGCGGCAAGCAGACCAGCTATGATAATAATAATGTGGCTTGCTTCAATCTAACCAAAGGTTGCGACAGCCAACAAGAACAACAGGAGCTGCAAAGGATTCGAAGCAAATCTAAATAAATGTCGAGGAAGCATTTTCTATACACCTGCAAAAAGATTAGCAACAGCATTTTGGAACATATTTCAATTCAGTGAGCAAATATGCAAATGGCAAATATAATTAAATTGTAATTGTTTTGTTTGTTGGCTTGTTTTATGTTTGATGACCTGTTCAGGTCATGATCTGCAGCTAAGTAAACATCTATTTGAATTACCGTATTGAGTCTGTCAAAATAATGTTGGTATTTATTAGAATTGCGAACTAATCGTTTTAAATTGCTAGAAAACATTGATTTAATAAGAGTACATTGGAGATGTAGTTCAGGCGAGTACATAAATTGTGAAGGACGCAAATTAATAACTGAAGAGCAGCTTTTTAACTGGAGGTGAGTTGGTTAATTGAGTAATTGGTAACAAAGAGTTTGCAGTTGGGTAAGAGTAGTGAGTGGTCGTCTTGGAATAATAGTACGTGAATATAACACAAGTCTTCTTTTACCTTTTATCAAGGTGTTTGCTGGAGACTGAATTGATAATGTGCATGACTTTAATGTATAATCAAATCACAATGTATAATGAAATGCTTCATTGCATTAGTCTGATTAAGATGATGGGTCTTTGGCTCAATTCTATTCATGAGTGAATATAGCAGTGGGCATAAGGATGAATTTAAAATGTATAAGTTTGGATGAGAATCTTAAGTTGGATCTGTGTGTTGAACTCTGTTGAACTCCCAAGATGGCAACGCTCTATGTCCATATGGAAACAATCATTGATTTAAAAAGCAGCGCATTGAATGAAAATCTTACTGTGTTTCTATGCCTAATAGGCCAGTGAACAAGTTAATCTGAGTGATTTTCAAAAGTAGATGACTTTTAAGCAACTGCTTTGAACAATTTGTACAGCAACCCAGGAAGCCTTGAAAATAAGCAAAAGCCATCATCAGGTTAAGCCTAACATCCGCAGAATGAATCAGCGTCAAATACGCAATCATATATATGAAAATACTTGGTATATATATATTGAATACCTAGTATATATATATATATATATATTTATCTGTCAGTTTTCTTGCAGCCTTGTAGCCATCAGCCCTTGGTTACAGTTTTTCCTTTCGCTTTCACTCTCTGGCTTAAATTGGGCAAATGCGTTTGTCCGGAGTAGCTCAAAGTACTGGGATTAAAAAGCGTTTTGCATGTCCATTACCCCAATTGGGCAAGTGGGCGTGGCATGTTGGTGGAGCAAAGAAAATGCGGTAAACGAATTTGCGAAAATTATTTGCGCGCCGAGGCAAAAGCTTGATTAAATTTTCTCTACGAGTCCGCCGGGCATACGGCATATTATATTTATATGTACATACTGTACTCTACTCTATATACTATAAATATATATATATATATGTATGTATTTGTATGCGTATATAGGAATGAGTTTTCATTGATACTTTGATTTGGTATTTGGCCGTTTTGTGTGCCGGGTCATTTCCCAGGCGCATTACGAGCGCGTCCGCCTATAAAAATGCTCTTTTTCTTTCTTCTTTTTGCTTTTGACTATTTGTTGCTATTTTATTTATTTCAATTATGAAAACTTTTCTGCACACAAAACGCGACGTTGAGAAAAAACAGACCCTGGTTGGATTTTGGCAGTAGATGGTGGGCGAGATGGGCCCCTGTAATTTCTTTGTTGCTTTGTTTGTTGCTGTTTCTGCTTATACATTTTCTTTTTTTTTTGTCCACCCCCACCCCAACAGTCTGCCTCATTTTGTCGCCTTGAGTAAACAAACATTTACAGCTCAATTGTTTTTTTTTCGCTTGTTTTTCAGCGCTCAGCTTCCACGAAAATTGATGAGTTTTAAATTGTTCGCTTCGGCCCATATTTCTTTTTTTTACTCTTACTTCCTTTTCATCCTGTGGTTTTTATCTTGTTTTTGTATCAATTTTGATCATAATCAAAAGTTTTCGCTTCATTTTACATTCAATTAAGTCCATTACTTAATTTGTGTCGTATTTAAACAGTGGCCGACATCAGAGACTATACGAGATTATAGATTGTATTTATTTTATTTACTTAAAGTTTGTTTTGGTTTCTAACAATTAAGGAATGATTATATTTAATATGGAAGTTTATATACCGCCTGCTGTGTTCTTGCACCCCAAAAAGAGAAAAGAAAAACAATTTCTAAGTTTACCAAGTAGCATAATAAATTACATTAGGTTGCCCCAAGTTGTTTTTTGCTCAGACCCCCTCCCAGGCCTCGACTGTTTTGGCCAATGTGCTTTTGTGTGCTCAACAGGTAAACTTTTTTTTCAGTTTCCATTTAGTGCAGTCTTTGTAATTATATATTTTCTTTTCAATTTTCATCATTTTCCTCCCACGTGCCTCGCGTTTAAATGCTTTAAGTGTTTTGCTTATCTTTAATTAACAATTTGTGCCTGCTGTCCACTCAAAGAGGGGGGCAATGGTAGAGCATCTCTGACTTAATGACCAGCCTGGAGTGTTGTGTGCATTATATGATTAATTACCTAATTATTGTATTATATAACGCAGGCAGCTGTGGGCATTGTATCTTTAAGCCAGCGGTCAGATGCCTGCTTTTGTTTAATAATTGAGCAGGCTCTCGGGATATGCTAGTCTCTATAACAGCCAGCTTCCCCCTCAAGCATTTTTTTTCAATGGTTGCTGCTCGTTTGTTGCTGTGTTGGACTCATTGATTTTAACCGAAAAAAAGGTCAAGCAGCAACAGTTTTTCTCCTAAGCCGCAAACAAAAAAAAGAAGCAATTGTGGCAAATTTCGAACCCCAAAACGCCCCCAAACAAACAAGGCTTTTGCGCAAATATTTCGATTGGAAATTCAAAACACGTGCACCCAAAGCGAAACTATAAATGCGTATTCGAATAGCAGTACGAGTACCAGTATGAGTACTCGATGTAAGCATTGTGAATAACTTGAATACACAAGCCGTTTACACTGTGTATATAAAAGGATTTCCACTGCTTTCTGATAGTTTTGCTCTCAACTTTGGGGTCAGCATCGGTTTTAAGTATGTGTGTGTCTAAACTGATTGCAATTCAATTTATTTGCAAAATTGTTTCTGCTTAGCACTAAATTATTGATTAGTTTTAAATTATGTTGATCACAGGCTGTGAATATGAAGTGAACATAAGGCACATTTTAAACTTGCTGTCAGCTTTGACAGCCGCTTGAGTTAATTTAACTTATTGCTATTTGTATTTTGTACATTCGTCAAAACTCGATGTGCAAAGTTTGCTTTATTTCACAAGCTAGCAACTGCTACACACACATGCTCCAAGCCATCTTTGGATTGGACTTTACTGCTGGAATAAACTTAATACAAAAAAGTAAATTTTGTATTATTAAATATATTTTATTTTTGGGCAAACTTTGTGCATAAATTCAAAGCGAGCAATGTGATTTTGTGTGTGTGTTTGGTAATAAATGTTGAACGCTGTTTTGTATAGCATACTTAACGGGGCTGGAAGTGAAGTCAAACTTGCCACGCTCAAATAAATGCTGTCAATATCAAAGTCACGTGCAAATGTTGTTTATTACTGTTGCAAGTTAAGTTTCGGTAGCTTCCTGGTGAGCTGCAAAAACATTCGCATATATTCCTTATGTATATATAAGTAATATGTATATATGCTTGAGCTCGAGTGATTTTAGTTTGAATTTTACGTGCCCATCAAAATTATTATGAGCACACACACACACACACACACACACACACACACACACACACACACACA